GGGGGAAGGTGTTGAGAAAGAGAGAGAGAGAGAGGAGAGAGAGAGGAGGAGAGAGAGAGAGAGAGAGAGAGAGAGAGAAGAGAGAGAGAGAGAGAGAGAGAGAGAGAGAGAGAGAGAGAGAGAGAGAGAGAGAGAGAGAGAGAGAGAGAGAGAGAGAGAGAGAGAGAGAGAGAGAGAGAAGAGAGAGATGGGGAGAGAAGAGAGAGGGAGAGGGGGGCAGACAGACAGATAGACAGAGAAAGAGAGAGGCAGACTGACAGACAAACAGACAGGCAGACAGACAGGAGAAGAGAGAGACAGGCAGATAGACAGACAGAGAGAGACAGGCAGACATGAAACAGGCAGATAGACAGACAGAGAGAGAAGACAGGCAGACAGACAGACAGAGAGACATATAGACAATGAGAGAGACAAGCAGACAGAAAGAGAGAGACAGGCAGACAGACAGAGAGAAAGAGAGACATACAGACAGAGACAGAGACATACAGACAGAGAGAGAGACAGGCAGACAGACAGAGAGAGACAGACAGACAATGAGAGAGACAAGCAGACAAAAAGAGAGAGACAAGCAGACAGAAAGAGAGAGACAGGCAGACAGAGAGAGAGAGAGAGAGGAGACAGGCAGACATACAGACAGAGACAAGGAGACATATAGACAGAGAGAGAGAGGGCAGACAACAGACAACAGACAGAGAGACAGCAGACATGAGAGAGACAGACAGAACAGAGCAGACAGACAGACATACAGACAGACAGAGAGAGAGACAGGACAGACAGAGAGACAGCCAGCAGAGAGAGAGACAGACAGACAAACAGAGAGAGAAGACAGACAGCCATCAGCCAGGCGCGGGGGCCTTACCTGGCGGCGTGCAGTGTACGAAGATCTTCTCGAGCACAGCCTCGTCACAGGAGAGGATGTCAATCATTTCGGAGTCCGAGAGGCCGTGCTTGGCCGCCGTCAAGTAGCCGAGGGTGTGGGACACTTCCACCTGGCAGGAAGTGTTGGGAATCAGAGGCAGGATAGATAGGATCATAGGATTATCACTCGGGACGACGTGGTGTGGCGTCATGGTCTATTATGCGAGTGTTTTCCCGGTGTTTTCGTACTAATTGCGTTGTTTACGTTTGTTTTTTTGTTTCAGTGAGGGTATTAAGGCATATTTCTTTGATCATTCTTTTGATTTTTTAGGCAAATCTGGTTTTAATATCTAGATCGATTCAGAAAGACAAACCTTTTCTTGTGTATCATTTTTTTTCTTCTAAAAACTGCCAACAACTCCTTTAAGAATTACCACCAATCCCTTTCAGAACTACTTACAGTCAGTACTGCCAACGCTTTCTTTAAGAATTGCCAACATTTCTTTAATAATCCTCTTAAAAGGATTGCCAACACTCATCTCTGGACAACCAACATTTCTCCCCTTTAAAAAAAATCTTTAATCGTTAAATCTTTCTAAAAATCGTTTGAATCTTTCATCTTTAAATCTCTCTCTCTCTCTCTCTCTCTCTCTCTCTCTCTCTCTCTCTCTCTCTCTCTCTCTCTCTCTCTCTCTCTCTCTCTCTCTCTCTCTCTCTTTCTCTCTCTCTCTCTCCTCTCTTCCTCTCTCTCTCTCTCTCTCTCTCTCTCTCTCTCTCTCTCTCTCTCTCTCTCTTCTCTCTCTTCGTCCTTCTATCTCTCTCTCTCTCCTTCTCTCTCTCTCTCTTCTCTCTCTCTTTCTTTCCTCTCTTTCTCTCTCTTCTCTCTCTCTCTCTCTCTCTTTCTCTCTTTCTCTCTCTCTCTTCTTCTCTCCTTTCTTCCTCTCATCTCTCTCTCTTCTCCTTCTCTTTTCTCTCTCTCTCTCTCTTCTCCTCTCTCTTCCTCTCTCTCTCTCTCTCTCTCTCTCTCTCTACTCTCTCTCCTTCTCTCGCTCCTCTCTTCTCTCCTTCTCTTTCCTCCTCTCTTCTTCTCTCTCTCTCTCCTCTCTCTCTCTCTCTCTCTCCTCCTCCCTCTCTCTCTCTCTCTTCTCCTTCTTCTCTCCTCTCTCTCTCCTCCTTCTCTCTTCTCTCTCTCTCTCTCTCTCTCTCACTCTCTCTCTCTCTCTCTTCTCTCTCTCTCTTCTCTCTCACTCTCTCTCTCCTCCTCTCATCTCACTCTCACTCTCACTCTCTCTCTCACTCTCACTCTCACTCTCACTCTCACTCACTCTCACTCTCCTCTCCTCTCACTCTCACTCTCACTCATCTCACTCACCTCCCCCTAAAAAAAAAATAATAATACTAAACAAATAAAATCTTTTAAATCTCTCTCTCTCTCTCTCTCTCTCTCTCACAAACACAAATAAATAAATAAATAATAAATAAAATCTCCACTTCGATGTCCTCCTACCTGGCCATAGGCGGCTTCCAGTTCGTCGAAAACCGCATTTATGAGGCCCATGAGATTCGGCTGGAGGGGAAGCTGCGTCTCGGCGCCCGTCCACTGGCACGCCATCCGCCCCATGATCTGTTGGGGGAGGGAGGGAGGGAAGGGGAGGGAAGGTGGGAGGGGTGGGAGGGGAGGGGGGGAGTGGGGGAAGGGGGAGAGGGAGGGGGGGAGGGAGGAGGAGGAGGGGAAGGGAGGGGAGGGTAGGGAGGGAGGTGGGGAGGGAGGGAAGAGGGAGGGAGGGGGGGTGGAAAAGGAGGAAGGGGAGGTATTGAGGTAAGGAGGGAACAGTAGGGAGGGAGGGAGGGTAAGGCATGGTAGAAGGGAGGGAGAGAGACAGACAAATAGAGAAAGAATGGCAGAGACAGAAACAAGAAAATCAGAACAAAATAATACAAATAAAAAATGTGTAAATATAAGAGAACTTATATCACTATATCAATATCCACACTCGAATTTCAAAATATTTCAAACCCTCTCCACCACCCACCACCACCACATGTTTCTTCTTTTTCTTCTCCTCTCCCTCCCTCTCCCTACTCCTCCTCCTCCTCTCCTTCTCTCCCTCCTCTCTCCCCCTTCTCCCTACTCCCTCTCCCCCCATCTCCCATCTTCCTTCCCCCTCTTTACTCCTCCTCCTCCTCCTCCCTTCCCCTTCTTCCTTTCCTCCTCTCTCCTTACTCCTCTCCTCCTTCCCCCTCCCCTATCCTCCTCCTCCTCCCCTTCCTTCTTCTCCCTTCTTCCTTCCCTCTCCCCCCTACTCCCTCCTCCTTCTCCTCCTCCCTCTCCCTACTCCTCCTCCTCCTCCTCCTTCTCCCTTCTTCCTTCCCCTCCCCCTCCCTTCCTCCCCTCTCCCCTCTTTCCCTACTCCTCCTCCTCCTCCTCCTCTCTTCTCCCTCCTCCCCCTCCCTCTCTCCCCTACTCCTTCTCCCCTCCTTCTCCTCCTCCTCTCTTCTCCCTTCCCACTTCCCCTCCCCCCATTCCCATTCCCCCATTCTCCATTCCCCTCTCTCCTACCTTACCCCCTCTCCCTCCTTCAACCTCCCCTCCCCTCTCTCCTACCCCTACCCCCCCTAAAAAAAAAAAAAAAAAAAAAAAAAAAAAAGAGAGATAGCCCGCGATGAGCCTACCTCCACGTAGAGCGGCAGCGGGCACTCTTGCAGGTACTTGCTCACCAGCCCCTCTGCTCTCCTTGTTGACGCTCCGGTGGTGCTGCTCAGGATGCCTCGAACTTGTTGTAGCCTTCGTCGATCGTCAGGGGCGGATCTGGCGGAGGAGGAGGGGGAGAGAGAGGAGGGGGAGGAGGGGGCGGGGTTAGAATGTTGCAGAATGTTGTGGGGTGGTGGTGGGGGGGGTGTTGGAATATGAGGGGTGGGGTGTTTGAGTTGTTGTGGGGGGGGGGGGAGTGTTGGGGATATGAGGGGAGGGGTGGGTTTGAATTGTTGTGTGGGGGGGGGGGGAGGTGTTGGGAATATTGAGGGTTGGGAGTGTTGGGAATATGAAGGGGAGGGGCGTATTTGAACCGCTGTGGTTTGGGGGGGGGGGTGTTGGAAATATTGAGAGGTGGGGGTGTTGGGAATATGAGGGGAGGGGGCGTGTTTGAACCGTGTTTGGGGGTGGGGAGGTGTTGGAAATATTGAGGGTTGGGGTGTTAGAATATTGAGGGTGGGGGTTGTGTCAGAAAATATCAAGGGTGTGGGAAGTCTTAGAATATGGTGAAAGGTGTGCCAGAAAATGGGCTTGGGGAGTGTGTCAGAATATTTCAGAAAAAATGGAGCTTTGTGTCATTTCTTTCTTCTAATCTTCAGATTTTTTAAGGACCTACTGTGGTTAAAATGCACATCTGAAAAGAAGGTTTATACATTGAAGATGCAGTATAATATGAAAACAAAAATGTTACCTGGACTATATATTACATGCTTATGCATATCTATGTATCTATCTCCCTGTCCTCCCTTCCCTCCCCTTTCCCTCCTCCACCCCTATCCTCCCCCCTACCCCCACCTTGAGGAAGCAGGCCCTGTCCTCCTTCCCTCCTCCCTTTCCCTCCTCTACCCCCTCTCCCACCCCATCCCCACCTTGAGGGAAGCACTCCCTGCCCCCCTTCCGCTCCTCTACCCCTCCCTCCCCATCCCCCTATCCGCCCACCTTGAGAAGCACTTCCCTGTCCTCCTTCCCTCCTCCCTTTCCCTCCTCTCCCCCCCATCCCCTCCTCCACCCTTTCCCTCTCCTCTCCCTCCTCCACCAATCCACCCCTACCCCCCCACCTTGAGGAAGCAGGCCCTGTCCTCGATGATGGTCTGCAGGAGACATTGCGGCGAGTCGTCTTCGGGGAAAAAAAGAAAACCCTCCTCTCCACCCTTCCCTCCTTTCCCTCCCCTCCCTTCCTCCCTTCTTCCCTCCCTTCCCCCATCCCCTTTTCCCTCATCCTCCTTATACCCCATCTTCAGGAAGCAGGCCCTGTCCTCCTTCCCTTCCCCTTTTCCCTCCTCTACCCCTCCCCTCCCCATCCCCCATCCCCTTTCCCTTATCACCCATCCCCCTTTCCCTCATCCCCCACCCTCCCCATCCTCCCCTCCACCCCCACCTTGAGGAAGCCAGGCCCCTGTCCTCGATGATGGTCTGCAAGGAGCGACTGCTCGCGGCGGATTCGTCCCCGCCGACCTCATGATCAGCTTGACGTTCTCGGGCAGCTCCGACGGCAACCCACTCCAGCGAGGTCGACCCGTAACACTTTGACCTGGTCGATCCCGTCGATCATGATGACCAGCGGCCGGATCTTGCACGCCTTCGACCACACGTGCTTGAGGAAGGCGGACATGTGGCGCACGCTCTGGGAGGGGGGAGGGGAACGGGAGAGGGGGAGAGGGAGATGGGAAAGGGAGGAAAGGGAGGAAGGGGAGAGGGGGAGGAAGGAAGGGAGAGGGGAGAATGGGAGGAAGGAAGGAGAGAGGGGAGAAGGGAGGAGAGAGGGGAAGGAAGGGGAGACGGGGAGGGGGAAAGGAAGAGGGCAGAATGGGAGGAAGGAAGGAGAGAGGGGAAGGGTGAAAGGGAAGAGAAAGTGAAGAGAAAGGAGAGTGGGAGGAAGGAAGGGGAGAGGGGAGAGGGGGAGGAAGGAAAAAAGGGAGAGGGAAGGAACGAAGGGGAGAGGGGGAAGGTAGAAGGGAGATGGGCCAGGGTAGGGTGGGAAGGGAAGGAAGGGGGAGGGAAAGAGAAGAAAGAGGTAGGAAGGGGAGTGTGGAAGGAAAGGGAGAGTTGGGAAAGAGGGAAGAAGGGAAGGGGAGAGAGGGGGGGAAAGGGGGAGAGAGGGACGGGGAGGGGAGAGAGAAGAGAAGATTAGTATTATCATCATCAATATCATACGTATCATTGTTATCATTATCATTGTCATTAGGACTTTCATTATCATTATCACTATCATAATTTTCATTATTATCATTTCTAGCAATCGATATTTTTCATATTACTTTTAATATCACCATTATTAGCACTGTTATTTTTAACATCTTCATTATCACTATTACATTATCAGCATTATTATCACTTTAATTTCATCATCATTAGCAATAATATCATTATTATCAATCATTATGAATATTACTATCATTATTATCAATCATTATGAACACTATTATCATTATCATCATCATTATCTCTATTATCATTATCATCATCCTTACCCCTACAACTCCTCCCCCACCCCCTACCCACCTTAATCCCTCCCTTACCCATCACTCAACCATCACCCAGCCTCCCCTTGGCCAAGCCCACCCTTAACCCCTCCCCCTACCCATCACTCAACCAATCACCAGCCTCCCCTTGGCCAAGCCCCACCCTTAACCCCTCCCCCTACCCATCACTCAACCAATCACCAGCCTCCCCTTGGCCAAGCCCCACCCTTAACCCTCCCCCTTCCCATCACCAACCAATCACCAGCCTCCCCTTGGCCAAGCCCCACCCTTAACCCCTCCCCCTACCCATCACTCAACCAATCACCAGCTTTTCATTGGCCAAGCCCCACCCTTAACCCCTCCCCCTACCCATCACTCAACCAATCACCAGCCTCCCCTTGGCCAAGCCACACATTAACCCCTCCCCTACCCATCCTCAACCAATCACCAGCCTCCTTGCCAAGCCCACTTAACCCTCCCCCTTCCCATCACTCAACCAATCAGCAGCCTCCTTGGCCAAGCCCCACCCTTAAACCCTCCCCTACCATCCCTTCACCAATCCACACACCTCCCAACCTTGGCCAAGCCCCACGCCTTAACCCCCCCCTCCCATCACTCAACCAATCACCCTCCCCTTGCCAAGCCACCCTTACCCCTCCCCCCCATCACTCAACCAATCACCAGCCTCCCCTTGGCCAAGCCCACCCTTGGCCTCCCCTTGGCCAAGCGCCACCCTTAACCCCTCCCCTACCATCACGCAATCCAATCACCAGCCTCCCCTGGCCAAGCCCCACCCTTAACCCCTCCCCTACCCATCACTCAACCAATCACCAGCCTCCCCTTTGGCCAAGCCCCACCCTTACACCTCCCCCTACCCATCACTCAACCAATCACCAGCCTCCCCTTGGCCAGCCCCACCTTTAACCCCTCCCCTACCCATCACTCAACCAATCAAGCCTAATTGGCCAAACCCCACCCTTAACCCCTCCCCTACCCATCACTCAACAATCACCAGCTCCCTTGGCCAAGCCCCACCTTAACCCCTCCCCTTCCCCCATCACTCAACCAATCACCAGCCTCCCTTGGCCAAGCCCCACCCTTAACCCTCCCCCTACCCATCACTTCAACCAATCACCAGCCTCCCCTGCCAAGCCCACCCTTAACCCCTCCCCTATCCCCATTCACCAATCACCAGCCTCCCCTTGGCCAAGCCCCACCCTTAACCCCTCCCCCTACCCATCACTCAACCAATCACCATCCGCAAGCCCCACCTTAACCCCTCCCCCTACCCATCACTCACCAATGCCTCTTTGGCCCAAGCCCACCTTACCTTGCTGCCTTCCGCGACCCACCTCTTGAATGCCCCAAACGCGCGCGCATGCACTCAACATACCAGCCTCCCCTTGGCCGCAAGCGCCCTACCCTCCCTACCATCACTCAACAATCAGCTCCCTTGGCCAAGCCCACCTTAACCCTCCGTCGCATCGATCAAAATCACGCGGGGCCAGCTCCCCTAACCTCCTACCCATCCGCAACCAATCACAGGATTGGCAAGCCCCCCTTTAACCCCTCCCGCTACCATCACTAAGGGGGGACCAGCCTCCCCTGGCCAGCCCCACCCTTAACCCCTCCCCCTACCCATCACTCAACCAATCACCAGCCTCCCAAGCCCCACCCTTAACCCCTCCCCCACCCATCCTCATCAACCACAGTGGGCCCCACCTACCTTGCTGGCCTCCGCGATGGTCTCCAAAGAGCGCGCAGCACTGCTCGGCGATGGCCTCAGGACCTGCTCCGTCGTCGAGGACCCGGGGGGGAGTCCTACGACCTGGGGGAGAGGGGGGGGGGAAGGGTTAGTCCCTCGTGTGTCTTTTTGTTGTTTTTTGATTGTTAGTTGTTGGTATAACTTTTTTTATTGTTCTTGCTGTGTATATGTCTCTGCTGTTGTTATCACCATAATTGTTGTTTTGTTTTACTTAACATCACCACAATAAACTATCCCTTTTATCATTACCGTCCTTATCCCTATCATCACCTTTATAATCATCATCACTATCTCTTTTATCATCACCATCACTATACCATCATCACCATCCTTATCACTATCACCTTTATCATCACCAACCTTATCTCCATCATCTATATCATCCTTATAATCATCACTATCTCTTTATCATTACCATCCTTATCCCTATCATCACCTTTATCATCACCATCCTTATCCTACCATCCCCTTAACCCCCACTCCTCCCCACCCTCCAACCCTGAGCCCTCCCCACCCTCCCCTACCCTCAGCCCCCCACCCTCACCCACCTCTCCACCCATCCCCACCCTATGCCCCACCCTGACCCCGACGCACCTGACGACGAGGGGGACGTCGACGAGCCACTCGCAGCACCTCTCCATGGCCTTGGCGATGAGCGAGGACTTCCCCACCTCTCCCCACCATCCCTACCCTCAGCCCTCCCACCCTCCCCACCTCCCCACCCTGAGCCCCGACCGCACCTGACGACGAGGGGGACGTCGACGAGCCACTCGCAGCACCTCTCCATGGCCTTGGCGATGAGCGAGGACTTCCCGCAGCCTCCCCACTCTCAGCCCTTCCCACCCTCCCCAACCCTCCAAGCCCTCCCCACCCATCCCCACCCTGAGAGCCCCCGACCGCACCTGACGACGAGGGGACGTCGACGAGCCACTCGCAGCACCTCTCCATGGCCTTGGCGATGAGCGAGGACTTCCCGCAGCCGACCTCGCCGTGCATGATGAGCGCACGCAGGAGTCGTTGCTGAGGTACCTGGGGGGGGAAGGGGGAGTGAGAGGGTGTTGTTGTTGGTTGGTATTGTGTGGGGTGGGAGGGGGTTGGGGGCGGGTGGGGGGGGGAAAGAGAAGAGAAGGGGGGAGTGAGAGGGGTGATTTTAGTTGGTTGTGTTTGTTTGTGGGGGTGGGGAGGGAGGGGGGTTGAGGGGTTGTTTGAGAGGTGGTTTGTTGGTTGGGGTTGGTTTGGAGGGGGGGGGTTTGGGGAGAGAGGGGGGGATTGGGGGGTGTTTGTTGTTGGTGATTGGTGTGTGTTTGTATGTTGGGGGTGGGGTGGGGGAGTGTGGGGTTGTTGTTGGAAAGGGAGAGAGTAGAGGGAGTTAGAGGGTGTTTGTTGTTGGTATTGTTTTGTGTGGGAGGTGGGGTGGTTTGGGGGGAGGGGGGGGAAGAAAGGGGGAAGGGGGAGTGAGGTGGTTGTTGTTGGTTGGTTGGTATTGTGTGTGTGGTGGGGAGAAGAGGGGGGGTGTTTGTTGTTGTTGTTGTTTTGTTGGGGGGGGGGGGAAGGGGGGAAAAGAAGAAGAGAGAGAGGGGAGTGATAGCGGTGTTTGTTGGTGTGGTTTGTATTGTGGGGGGTAGGGTGGGGGGCGGGTTGGGGTGTGAAGGGATTTTTGTGTATGTTTTTTGATAATTGTTAATAAGCAGTTTGTCTGTTTGGTTATTTTTGTTTTTTTTCTGTTCGTATTTCAGGGAAAATATGATAAAGTTATATCAACAAGTGTATATGAGAAAGATTTATTGGAAGGTACGTTAATGTTCATGGTTTAATTTTTCAATACTATTGTTATATTAATAACAAACAATATTATAGTGATACCAATAATAATGTTAAATAATAATAAAAAAAATATAATAAATAAATGAATAAATAAATAAATAAATATCTATATATAATATATATATATATATATATATATATAATATATATATATATATACTATATAATATATATATATGTATGTATATAATATGAGGGTTTGCTTTTTTCTCTACCAATTCTCTCCTTATTTTTCTCCCATCTCCCTACCAACATGCGTTTTCCCATCATTCCCTCATTCCTCCCTCTCTTTCCTCTTTGCCCCCTCTCTCTTCCTCTCCTTCGCCTCCTCCTTTCGTTTCCACTCTCCCCTTTCCCTCCCACCCTCACTTACTCCCACGCCCTCTCCTCCCTCTCTCCTCTTTCCTTTCCCCACTCCCTCTTCCCCTTCTCCTCTCCTTGTTTCTCTCCACTCCCTACCACTCTTCCTTCCCTCCCCTCCCTCTTCCACTCTCTTCCCTCCCCTCTCAGCCCATTCTCTCCCTCGCCTCCTCCGCCTGCCCCTCTCCCCACCGCATTCCCGGCCCTTCCTGTATCCCCCCCACTCGCTCCTCCTCTCGCGCACCCATTCCTCCCTACTCCTTTCCTCTCTTCCTCTCGCCCCCAGTTCAATCCCTCCCTCCTCCGCTCTCTCTCTCTCTCTCCCACCAACTCCTCCCTCTCTCCTCTCTCCCCACCCTCCCTCCCTCCTCTCATCCCACCCATTCCGCCCACCTCCTTCCCTCCCTCTCCCCACCACTCCTTCCCTCCCTCTGCCCTTCCTCACCCACTCTTTCTTCCCGTTCCCTCCCTCCCACCTCACACTACCACAGCCACATCCTTCTCCTCCACCCATGTCCCCAACCCCATCCTCCCTCCTCTCCCCACCATCCATTTCCCCACCACCCACCCAATCCCTCCCTTCTTCTCCCTCCCTCCCTTCCACTTAGTCAACCTCCTGATCTTGGTGAGAAAGCTTCCTGGCGTCCCTGGAAATTCTTGTACAGAATGCACATCAGGGACTTCAACCACTCCCTCCTTCCCAACCTCTCCCCACCCACTCCCTCCTCCCTCTCCTATCCCTCCTCGCCTCCTTCATCCTCCCACCTCACTCCCCACCCACATCCCTCCCTCGTCTCCCACCCCCAATATTCATCCTCCCTTCTCCTCCTCCCTCTCCCACCCCGCTCCCTCGCACCCATTTTCCCCAACCACCTCCCCTCCTCCATTTCCCCTCCTGATCTGTGAGCAGCTCTGGCGACCTGGAAAGTTTTCTTTGTACCTGACTGGCACCATCAGGGACTTCACCCACTTCCGCTGTCAATGGACCTTCCTTCGCCTCTCTCCCCACACTCCCTCCCCTGCCTCCTTCCTTCCCCCCTTCCCTCCTTCTCCTTCCCTTCCCTCCGCTCGCCACCCTACCTACTAGAATGTTTTTGTACGTTTCCCTCGCCTCCTCCCTCTCTCCCAACCCATTCCCCCAGCCACACCACTGCGCTTCGCATCCAGGCCTCCCTCCCTCCCTCCCCTCGTAACTCACCGTCCTTATCTTGGTGACGCAGCGCTCTGGCAGACCCTGGAAATTCTTGTAGCGGACTGGCACAGTCAGGGACTTCCCCACATCGCTCCTTTCCCTCCCTGCCACCCACTCGCCTCTCCTATCTCTCCTCCTTCCCTCTCGAGCCCACCCACTTCCCTCATCTCCCACCTCACTCCTCCCTCTCGCCCCACGGCGCAATCCTCCTTCTCCCTCCCTCCTCTCCCAACCCCTCCCCCTCCACCCATTTCCTCCCAACCCACGCTCCCTCGCCATCGTCATTCTACCTCTGATCTTGGTGAGCAGCTCCTGGCGACCCGCTGGAAATTCTTGTAGCGGAACTGGCAACATGCAGGGACTTCTCCACCCCACTTCCCTCCTTCGCCTTCCCCTACCCACCCACTACCCACACTCCTCCCTCCCCGACAATCCCTCCCCTCCTTCTCGCTCTCCCCACCTCACCAAGTCCCCTCCTTCTTCCCTCACCCTCGCCTCCTCACAACCTGCCCTCAGCTCTACCTCCTGATCTTGGGAGCAGCTCCTGGCGACCCTGGAAATTTTGTACCGGAATGGACTAGGGGACTTCAACATCCCTTCCTCCTCCCCAAACTCCTCTCCCTCTCTATCTCTCTTCTCTCCCACCCTCCTTCCCACCCAATCCCTTCCTCTCTCCACCATACTCCTTCTTTCCCTCCTCTCTTCCCCTCTCCACATTTCCCCCACCCTCCCTCCATCTCACCTCATGATCTTGGTGAGCAGCTCCTGGCGACCCTGGAAATTCTTGTAGCGGAACTGGCACATCAGGGACTTCTCCACCCCACTCCTACCTTCTACCACCTCATCCTCCCCTCCACCAACTCCTCCATCCTTCTCCCTCCCACCACCATCTCCTTCTTTCCCTCCCTCCCCTGCCCCCCAGTCACTCCTGATTTGGTGAGCAGCTCCTGGCGACCCTGAAATTCGTACCGGATGGCAAATCAGACTTCTCCACCCTCCCCTCCTTCCTTCTCCACCCTCTTCCTCCTTCCTCCCTTCTTACCCCCCCACTCCTCCTTCCTCCCTCTCTCACCATCCCTCCTTCTCTCTCCCACCCATTCCTCCCCCCTCTCCCTCCTCCTCTCCTCCTCCTCCTCCTCTCTTCCTTCCTCCACTCCTCCTGATTTGGTGAGCAGTCTGGCGACTGGAATTCTTGTAGGCGGAACTGGCACATAGGATGCTGCCGTGAGAGTCGTTTCTCGATGCCAAGAGTGGACTTCAGTTCTCCTGCAAGGGGGAGGGGGAAGGGAGAGAAGGGTGGAGGGTTAAGGGGGAGGTGGTAAACGGTGAGATTTGGGAAATGTGTGTGTTTGTGTGTTTGTTTTGTGTTTTTTGTTTGTTTTGTTGTTTGTGTGTTTGTTTTGTGTGTGTATTTGTTTGTTTTGGTGTTTGTTTTGTTTTGTGTGTGTTTGGTTGTGTGTGTGTGTTATTTGTTTTGTGTGTTTGTATGTGTATGTATATGTGTGTGAGTGTATGTGTGTATACATATGATTTGTGTGTGCGTGTGTGTAATAAATGATTCTAATTTATTTTGAATCTTCTCTATGTTTTTCATTTTTTCATATTCTCCTATTTATTATCTTTACATTATTATTGTCATTATCATCATCACTGTTATTATTATCATCATTTTCATCATTATCACTGTTACATTGAGTCCTCATCTTCATTATCATTAGTATATCATCATCATTTTCACTATCAGCATCATTACTACCTATTTATCCACCACTTGCTCATACACACACACATCAAATGATCATCATCACAACGTCATCTTCTCATCTTTCTCACATCATATCTTTATCGCATCATCATATAAAATTCTCATCATATCCATCATATATCACCATCATCATTCCATCAAAATATTATCTATACCCACATCAATCATCCATCATACCATACACAATCTTCATCAAATCTTCTTCAATATCACCCCCATAACATCATATATAATCACAGCGCTGCGGCAGCCGGGGGCGGGCCGCATATTATCATCATTATCATCATCATCTCATACATCTTCAACATCACCACACATCATCATCCTAATCACAAACCCACACCCTCACACCAACTACACTCACCACCACACCACATCATCATCACCATATACTCAATCATACACCCAAACCACCTACAGCCCACCCCGTCTTCGTATCGTCTCCTCGATGACGCGTCGATGATGGAGATAGGCAGCGGCAGGATCCACCCTCATCACTACCCTCACTCACACCCGCCGTACCTTGTCTCGTCCTCCACTCACCCCCCAGCCCCCAAGTTTGGTCTCGGTCCTCCTTTGATGACGCGTCGATGATGGAGATGAGCAGCGGCGAGATCTGGGACGAGAGGTCTCACGTCCTACCCTCCCTCACCTCACATCAACCACCACCCACCACGATAATTGGTCTCGTCTCTCGATGACCGGTCGATGATGGAGAATGAGCAGCGGCGAGATCACCCTACCCCTCACCCTCACACAGTACTTCGGTCTCGTCTCTCACCCACCCACCCCTCCACAACGTAATCGATCTCGTCTCTGATGAGCGTCGATGATGAGATGAGCAGCGGCGAGATTGGCGCAGAGGTCCCCCCCCCCTCATCACCTCACCTCACCACCACCGTACTTCTCTCGTCCCTCACCCCCACACCTCTCACCCCCACGAACCGTATTCGTTGTCCTCACTCCCCCACCCTCACCGTCACCCACCTCACCGCTGTACTTCCGTCTCGTTCCTCGATGCGGTCGATGATGAGATGAGGCGGCGAGGTCTCCACCTCACCCATCACCCTCACGCTTTCACCTTCCACCCCTCCCACCCTCAAACACCACCCACCGTACTTGTCTCGTCTCTGTGAGCGGTCGTGATCGAGATGAGCAGCGGCGAGATCTGGGCGCAGAGGTCTCCAGCCACTCCCTCCCTCATCCCCCACTCACCCACCAACCGTCGTCTTTCGTCTCGTCCTCCTCACCTCACCAACACCCCACACAACCCCTTACACCGTACTTCGCTCGTCCTCCCTCGTGACCGCCGTCGATGATGGACGATGGCAGCGGCGAGATCTGGGCAGAGTCCTCCACTTTTTCTCACCTCACCTCATCACACCACATCATCACCAAACCACCACGATCCTCATCATCGGGCACCATCCTAATCACATCTTATATATACCCTCCACACCATTCACCCACCAAGTCTTCGTTCGTCACTCGATGACGCGTGATGAAAATGGAGATGAGCAGCGGCGAAGATATGGGCGCAGAGGTTCCACCCCCAACCCTCACCTCATACAACCCACATCATCACACAACAACATCCTCAATTCATCACACCATCTCAATCACAACCCTTAATCATCATACACCTCACACACCCCTCACCCCACCCGTACCTTCGTTCGTCCTCCTCGATGAGCGCGTCGATTGATGGGATGAGCAGCGGCGAGATTGAGGCGCAAGAGGTCCTCCAGTACTGGCGTGGCTCCGCACTCCGGGTTCATGCGGAGTTGTGCCCTTGACGCGGACTATGAGCTCGGATTCTGTCGAGGCGCTCCTGTAGGGGGGGTGAGGGGGATGGAGGTGGGTGGGAGGGGGGGGGAGGGTTGGAGGGGGGGGAGGAGAGAGGGGAGGGATGGGTGGGGAGGGGTTGGGTGGAGGGGGGTGGAGGGGGAAGGGTGGAAGGGGGGGGGGAGAGAGGGAGGGATGGGTGGAGAGAGAGGGGGAGAGGGGGAGAGGGAGAGGGAGGAGAGAGAGAGAGAGAGAAAGTGAGAGAAAGAGAGAGTGGAGTGAGCGAGCGAGAGAGAGAGAGAGAGAGAGAAAAGAGAGACGAGTGAAGAGAGAGAGAGAGAAGAGCAAGAGACAGCAGAGAGACGAGGAGAGAGAGAGAGAGAGAGAGAGAGAGAGAGAGAGAGAAGAGAGAGAGTGAGGGAAGAGAGAGAGGAATAGGATAGAGCAGAAGGAGAGAGAGAGAGAGGAGAGAGAGAGAGGGAGAGAGAGGAGAGAGAGAGAGAATGGGGGGAAGAGGGAGCGAGGGGAGGGGGAGAGGAGGAGAGAGAGCAAATATAAAAGGTTAATTTCTTCTACGGAAAATTATATTAATATCAGCATTTTTAAGAAATCGATTCAATTATAAAATGACAAACATTTGCATGAATCCTAATGAAATATAAATTCAACATCTCTCACTACACTCACTCATCATCAATCACTCATCATCACTACTCACCGTTGCTCACTCTCACTCACACTTCACTTCTACTATTAGGACTTCACTCGCTCTTTCACTCTAAATCAATTGCATTGGGACTCTCGTTTCTCGCAACTCATCTATTCAACTCTTTCATTCGCTTCTCACTCACGTCATTTCATTCACCTACTTCCCCTCCTCCTTCCCTTCCTTTCCTTCTCCCTCACATCTTCCCTTCCTCCTCCCTCCCTCTCTACTCACCTCTCCCTCTCTTCTCTCTCCTCTTCTTCTCCTACCTTGAGTATCATTGGCAGGTGTCCGCCTTTCTTGCTCTCCCTCCCTCCACTTCTCTCCTTCACTCCTCTCCTCTCTCCTCTCATTCCTCTCTCCTCTTCTTCTCCACTTCTTTTCCTCACTTCAGTTGCTCTGCAGGATGTCGCTCTTACTTGCTCTCGGTCGACAGCCAGTACACTTTTTCTTTCCTATCCTCTCTCTCTCCCTATCCCTCACCCCTTCCTCTCCTTCCTCTCCTCATCTCTCTCACTTCGTCGCCTGAGGATGTCCGCCTCTCTTGCTCCTCAGGGTTCCAACTGCAATACACATTTCCTTTATATCTCTCTCTCTCTCTCCTTTCGCCTCTATAACATCTTCCCCCTTCTCCCCCTCCATCCTCTCTCCCTCCTTTCCCTTCCTTATCCCATCACTTCAGTTCGCTCTGCAGGATGTCGCCCTCTTTTGCTCTCGGGTTCACTGCCAGTCACTTTCATTCATCCTTCATATCCACTTCCTTTCCCCTCTCTCCTCATATTCTCCTCCATCTCTCCTCTTCTTCCTCCTCACTTCGTTCGCTCTGCGGATTGTCCAGCTCTTTTGCTTGGGTTCCACTTGCCGTACACCTTTTTTTTTCCTTCTCTCTCTCTCCCCTCTCTTACTCCTTTAGTTCTCCCTTTCCCTTCCCTTCTCTCTCCTCTTCCCTCTTCTTTGCTCCTCATCCTCTCCATCTCACATTGAGTTCGCTCTGCAGGATGTTCCAGCCTTTTGCTTGAGGTTGACTGCAGTACACCTTTTTCTTTCCTATCCTCTCTCTCTCTCCTCTCTTCCTCTCTTTCTCGCCTCCCCCTTCCTTTTTTTCTTCTCTCCATCTCCTTCTTCTCCCTCTCCTCTCCTTCTCCTCCTTGAGTCGTCTGCAGGATGTCCGCTCTTCTTTGCTCTTCCGGGATTCACTGCAGTAACTTTCTCTTCCCTTCCCCTCTCACATCCTCTTCCTCTCTCTCCTTCCCCTTCTTCCCCTTTCCTCCATCCCTTCCCTATCTTCCTCCTACCTCCTCTCCCTCTGCTCTCCCTCTCCTCTCCCCTTCTTCTCTACCTTCATTCCTCTGGCAGGATGTCCAGCTCTCGTGTCTCGCTGCCCACGTACACCTTTCCCTCTCCCTCCCTCCCTCGCTACCCCTCCCATCTTCCACCTCTTCCCTCTCCGTCTCCTCCTCTCTCTCCTCTCTCTCCTTCCCTCTCTCTCCTCTCCCTCTCCCTCTCACCTCATCCTCCTACCTTGAGTTGTCTGCAGGATGTCAGACTTTTTGCTCTCGGGTTCCACCTGCCACGTACCCTCTTCCCTCTCCTCTCCTCCTCTCCCTCCCTCTTCCACCTTTCCTTCCCTCCTTGCTCCTTCCCGCTCTCTCCTCTCTCTCCCTTCTCTCCTCTCCTTCCCTCTGATCATCCACTCCCTCACCTTGAGTTCGCTCTTGCAGGATGTCAGCTCTTCTTTATTGTCTCGGGTTCCACTGCCACGTAACATTTCCTTTCCTGCCTCCTAGCTTCCCTCCTTCCACCTCCTTCATCCCCCTCCTCTCTCTCCTCTCTCTCTATCTCTCCTCTCCTTCTCTCATCATCTTCTCCCTCTCCTTCTCCTCACTTCAGTTGTCTGCAGGATGTCCAGCCTATTTGCTCTCGGGTTTCCACTGCCTACATTTTCCCTTTCTCTTCCTGCTTACATCCTCCCATCTTCCACCTCTCACCCTACTCTCCCTTCTCTCGCTTCTCTTCCTCTCTTTCCCTATTCTCTCTCTTCACTCTTTCTCCCTCACCTTCAGTTCGCTCTGCGGATGTACACCTCTTCCTTGTCTCGGGTTATGCCACGTAAACCTTTTTCTTTTCCCTATTTTCCTCTCCTCTCTTTCGCTTTCCATCTTCCCTTCCCTCTCCTCCTTCCCATCTCCTCTCTCTCACTCTCTCTCTCCTTCTCCACTCCCTTGAGTTGATCTGCAGGATGTCAGCATCTTTCTTCCTCCCACTTCTTTTCACTCTCTCTCTCTCCCTCCTCCCTTCTCCTCTCTCTCTCTCCCTTCCTTCTCCTCACCTTCAGTTCGCTCTGCAGGATGTCCAGCCTCTTCTTGCTCTCGGGTTCGAAGCACGTCACTTTTTCTTTCCCTATCCTTCTTCTCTCTCCTTTCGCTCTTCTCCCATCTTCCCCATTACTCCCTTCCCCGTTCCTTCATCTCCCTCTCCATCATCCTCTATCCTCACTTCAGTTGTTGCGGGATGTCCAGCCTTTTTTGCTCTCGGGTTTCCACTGCCAGTACACTTTTTTCTTTCTATCCTTTTCTCTCCATCTCTCCATCTTCTCTCCCCCTCCTCTTCCTCTTTTCTCCTCATCTTCTCCCCATCCTCAACCTTGAGTTCGCTCTGCAAGATGTCCAGCTTCTTGCTACTCGGGTTCAACTGCAGTACACATTTTCTTGCGCCGGCGATGTTGTGCGAGGGAAGTGGTGAACTTGCGGATATCACAGCAGTGTTTGGCTCTCCTGGTTCATGAAGACGCTCTGCTTGATATCTGCGGGCGTGAAGGGTGGGCGCGATGAGGGTGGCGTGGAGGAGTGGGCGTGGGGTTGGGTTAGTTAGGGTTGAGTAGGTGTTTTTTTTTTTTTTTTTTTTTTTTTTTTTCTTTTGTTGTGTGTTGGGTATCTCCTGTGGGGTGAGGGTGGGCGTGGGTTGGTTAGTTCAGGTTTGCAAGTTATTGAGTACGATGTTTTTTTTTATATATTTTTCTTTTTGTGTGTGTGGGGGGTATTCTGTGGGCGTGAGAGTGGGCGTGGGGGTTAGTTAAGGGTTTTTTATCTCTTTCTTTTTTTTTGTGTGTGTGGGAGGGTTGGAGGGAAGCTGGTTGTTATTATGTTGTTTGTTGTGGTCGGTGTAACCTTTATCATTAGTACTCTTATACGTTATTTCGATTTTATCATCATCATTATCATTGTTATCATTATATTATTTTATCATATTACTTCATTACTATTAATCGTTATTTTCGATTTATCATATCATCATTTCATCATTGTTATCATTATCATTATTATTATCATTATATCATTACTATCATTTCGATTATATTTCATTATCATTATTCATTATCATTATATTATCATTATTATTCATTAATCATTATTATTATAATATCATTAACATATTATCATGACTGTTGTTTATTACATTAATCGTAATAATTATTGCTATCATCATTATCATCAAATCAATATTCTTTCCACCTTATTATCGTTATTTCGATTATCATTATCATCTTATCATCATAATGACTGTTGTTATTATCATTATCGTAATATTTTATTAACATCATCATTATTATCTCTCCATCTATCTAATCTATTGTTATAATCAACCATCATCAAAAACTCATCAAGTTAATATCTCTCAAAGAAATTATTTGATCAAATTTAATAAAAACAACAAAATCACATGAAGATACAATCTTTATCTTTTCAGCCACAGAGTCTCACAAGATAAATAAAAATATAAACCAAAAAGAAAGTTAGGTTCATGTCCCTTCCTTATCAGTTCATGCTTCTTATCAGGCACAAAAATATGTAAAAACAACAACAGAATATCGACAAAGACACGGTCTAGTTCTTATCTATTATCAGCCACAGAAAACAACAAAATCTTTATCAGCCAAGATACAACAAATTTCTATTATCAGCCACAGATAACAATAAAATCTATTATCAGCCACAGATAAACAACAAAAATTCAATTATTATCAGCACAGATAACAACAAAATCTATTAATAGCAGTAACAAAATTCCTATTATCAGCACAGATAACAACAAAATATATTATAGCCACAGATACAAAATCTAATTATCAGCACAGATCAACAAAATCTATTTCAGCACAGATAACAACAGAAATCTAATTATCATCACAGATAAACAACACAAATTAATTATCAGCCACATTAACCAAAATTATTATCGCCAAAGATAAAAAAATCTCTTTAAAGCAAACAGTAAAACACAATTTTTATTATGCCACGATAAAACACAATTTATTAATAGCCACAGATAAACAAAATCATTATCAGACAAGATAACACACATCTATTATCAGCCACAGATAACAACAAATCTTTTATACCAGATAAAAACAAATCTATTTATCACCCGATAACACAAAACCTTACTCGGCTTATAAGTACTCATAAGATTGAACCAACAAGTCTTTTCTCGTCGTTATTTTATCAGTCGGTCCAGATGATAGACAACCAGTCCTTCTCACTTTCTCAGTCAGTCTTGAAGGAATAGGCAACCCAACCTAATGTTTTATCAGTCCGTCCTTGAAGGCAAAGGCATAAACAAGTTCTTTCTTTTATCAGTCCACATTGAGTCCCCTCAAAAGACACAACAGCCCTTATCCCTTATCAGTCAATCTACAGAGAAGAATTCCGTCCTTATCTATTCTCATGTCAGTCTACAAATAAGAAAACACCAGCCTTATCTCTTATCATCATCAGTCTTAAGGAAACCACTCCCTCCTCATGCTTCTTATAGTGTCTTCAGAAATATACACCCACCTTATCTCTCATGAGCAGTACCAAGGACCAACAGCCAGTTAATCTCTTATCAGTCGGTCCTCAGAAAGAGAAAAACAACCACGCCTTATTCTTTGATGTCAAGTCATCCTAAACAGAAGAAAAACGCCAGCCCTTATTCTTATCAGTACTCTAAAAAAGAAACACACCCAGCCCTTATTTTCTTTTATCAGTCCTCCTAAAAAAGAACACAACAGCCATTATGCTATTATCAGGTCATCTAAAAGAAACAGAAAGCCTTATCTCTATGAGCCTAGTCCCCAAAAGAAAGACCAACCCGCCTTAATCTCTTATCAGTCCATCCTAAAAAAAAGGAAACACACCAGCTTTATCTCTTTCAGTCACTCTAAAAAAAGAAAACACAACACTTATTTCTTATAAGATCCTCTTAAAAAACGAAAAACAAACCAACCTTATCTTTATAGTAATCTAAAAAAAGAAACTACAACCAGCCTTATCTCATTATGAGGCCATAGTCCACCAAAAAAGACCACCAGCCGTTACTCTGCTTATCAGTACTCTAAAAAGAAAACACCAGCCTTATCTCTTATAGTCATCTAAAAAAAGAAACCAACATTAATTTTATCAGTCATCTAAAAAAGAAAACCAACCGCTTATCTCTTATAGTACTCTAAAAAGAAACACAACCAGCCTTTCTCTTTAGTCATCTAAAAAAGAACACAAGCCAGCCTTATATCTTATGAGACGCCCCAAAAGGAAAGAACACAGCCCTTATCTCTATAGCCACAGTACCCCAAAAGGACACAATCCAGCCCTTTTCTTATCAGCCCCTGAGTCATAGGAATCAGAACCAGCATTATTCTATAGTCACTCCTAAAAAGAAACCAGCCGGCCCTTATTTTATCTCCCCTGAAGCCGATAAGACACAACCCAGCCTTATCTTATCTACATCACCTGAGCCGATAAGGAACAACCGCATTTATCTCCTATAGTCACTAAAAAAAGAAACCAACAGCTTATTCTTATCATCCCCTGAGTATAAGGAAGGCCTACCTGCTCCATGATGGAAGGTCTCCTTTCTGTTCCTGATTGGAAGACATCCTCATCAGCGTCATCATCTTCTTGACCTCGTTGTTCCAGTCCTGCACGGCCTCCTGGTGTAGGCTGGCTGTTGCTGTCCTGCAGGAGGGGCGGAGGGAGGAAGGTCAGGGCTCGGGACGCTGGGGTTCGTGTTTCGTGCATTTTTTTTTATCTTTGTTTTATTTTTTATTTTGTTTTTTTGTTTTTTTTATGTGGTTTGTTTTTTTTGTTTTGTTTTTTATGTGTATTTTTTGTTTTTGGTTTCTTTTTTGTTTTTGTTTTTTTATGTGTTTCTTTGTATGTTTAATGTTTTTGTTTTCATTTTTTTTGTTTGTTTTTTTTAGTTTGTTTGTATCTTGTTTGTTTTTATTTTCTATGCTTTTTTTGTTGTTGCAATCATCGTTATTAACATCGTGATAATGATTAATATCATTAGTAGTATTAGTAGTATCGATTATGTGATTAAGATTAGTATAATCATTATCATTGCCATAATATGACTATTATTACGGTTCTATAAATTTCTTTCTTTTGTGTAAAGATTTTGATAGAGAGAGGGAGAGAGAGAAAGAGAGAGAGAGAGAGGAGAAAGAAAAAGAGAGGCAGATAGACATAAGATAGACATTCCCTCCTTTCCCCCGAATTCCCTCCTCTCCCTCTCCCCTCTCCCTCTCCCTCTTCCCCCTCTCTCTTCTTCCCCTCTCTCTCCCTCTCCCTCCCCTCCCTCCCTCTCCTCTTCCTCTTCTCTTTTTCCTCTTCCCCTCCTCTCCTCTTCCCTCCTCCTCCTTCCTCCCTCCTCCTCTCTTCTCCTTCTCTCACCTTGATATTGGCCGTCTTCCCCTCTCACCTTGATATTAGGAATGTAAGTGCTGATGGCGCAGCTTGTAGCCGCTGCGCTTCTCGTCCAGTGGTAATCCCTCTTCCCTCCCCTCTCCCCTTCCCTCTCCCCTCTCCCTCCCTCTCCCTTCCCCTCTCCCCTCTCCTCTTCCTCTCCCTCCTTCTTTCTTCCCCTCTCCTCCCTCCTCTTCCCTCTCTCCTCCTCTCCCCCCTCTCCTTCTCTTCCCCTCCCCTCTTCCCTCTCCTTCCTCTCCCTCTCCTCCTTCCCATCCCCTCCTCTTCCTCTCACTTGATATTAGGAATGTAAGTGCTGATGGGCTGCAGCTTGTAGCAGGCGGCTGCGCGTTCTCCGTCCCAGTGGTACCACTTCCAGAACAGCTCCCTCCCTCTCCCTCTCCCCCCTCCCTCATCCCCTCCTCCCTCCTCCCTCTTCCTTTCCTTTCCTTCCCTCTTCCCCCCCTCCTCCTTCCCTCTCACCTTGATATTAGGAATGTAAGTGCTGATGGGCTGCAGCTTGTAGCAGGGCGGCTGCGCGTTCTCGTCCCAGTGGTACCACTTCCAGAAGAGCTCGCGGTCGGTGTCGTGCTCCATTGCCGAGATCGCCTGGTCGAAGTCGGGGCCCTCGATCACCCGCGGCAGGAGGGCGTTGCCGAAGGTCTCGTTGAGGAACACCACCGTCACGATGTGCGAGTCGCGGGCCTGGGCTGGAGGGAGAGGAAATATAATAAATAAATATAAATATAAATGGATAGAATGGGAGGTCTCTGGGCTGGACGGAGAGGAGGTGGTCAGAAGGGGGGGG